TGATGTACATCAAGGATATTCACTACCGGCAAGTGGTAATTAATCTCCTCCTTGTGGGACCAAGTGAAGTAACCACGAGGCATGGTTGTCCATGAGAGCGACATTGAACCCCCGTGATTGGATCCCATGTGTTTCATTATCCTTTGCCTTTTAACAATTCACACAAATTATTTCAATCCCACAAGAACTTAGTTCATCATCATCATCAGCAGCATATAGTCTGAGAAAAGAGACGAAGACAAGATGGAAAAGATGGGACCAAAAGATCACAGGCATGGTTCTGAGATTCACGTGCTGATATTTCCGTTACCAGCTCAAGGAAATGTCAACCCCATGCTCCAGTTGGCTGAGCTTCTTGCAATTTCCGGCGACGTCCATGTCACCTTTCTCAACACCCACCATATTCACCGCCGCCTCCTCCATTTCGCTGATGAAGTCGAAGCTCGCTACCCCACTCTTCACTTTGAGACCTTTGCCGACGGCGTTCCTGATGACCCCGCGATTCGGAGGCAACATGGATGAATTCTTCAACCACGTTAAGTTTCACGGCGCACTCAAGCTGAGAGAGTTGTGCTCCGAGCAACCTGGAAAACCCAGGATCACTTGCATAATTGGGGATGGCATGTTCGGAGATATCACCTCCGACATCGGAGACGAGCTCGGCATACCCATAATTCATTTCCGTACCTCCAGTGCTTGCAGCTTCTGGTCTTATTTTTCTGTTCCCAGGCTCCTTCAGAGCAACGAACTACCCATTAGAGGTGAAGAAGACATGGATCGTATGATAACAAAAATTCCAGGTATGGAAAACTTGATTCGAGGTCGCGATCTCCCAAGTTTCTTCCGAGGAAATCGTAATGGTCATATTCCTTTAGAGACACTGGTGTTCCAGACCCAACAAACGCTCCGGGCTAAAGCTCTGATTTTGAACACATTTGAAGATTTAGAAGGCCCTGTCCTCTCCCAGATACGCCTCCACTTCCCCAAACTCTACAACCTCGGTCCTCTCCACACCCACCTGAACTTTAGAAAAGCCTCCAAAATGGTGTCCTCCGAGGAACCAAGTTCAACCTCCACGAGCAGTCTATGGGAAGTGGATAGAAGCTGCATGACGTGGCTCGACGCTCAGCCACCTAAATCGGTGATATATGTGAGCTTCGGAAGCATAACCACAATCTCAAGAGATATGCTCATGGAGATATGGTACGGTTTGGTGAACAGCAAGAAGCGGTTCTTGTGGGTGATCCGACCCGACATGGTGACAGAACAAGCCGGAGAGGAACTGCCATTGGACCTTCTCGAAGGGACGAAGGAGAGAGGATATACAGTGGGTTGGGCCCCGCAACAGGAAGTTCTCGCACACAAGGCGGTTGGTGGGTTCATGACACACAGTGGATGGAACTCGACTTTGGAGAGTGTCGTGGCCGGAGTCCCGATGATATGCTGGCCGTACTTCGGCGACCAACAGATAAACAGCAGGCATGTGAGTGAGGTATGGAAGATAGGGCTAGACATGAAGGACACGTGTGATAGGAAGATTGTGGAGAAAATGGTGAATGATCTCATGGTTGAGAGGAGGGAGGAGTTTGAGAAATCGACGGAAGCTATGGCCGCGGCGGCCAAGACGAGCGTGAGTGAAGGTGGGTCCTCTTACTCTGATTTTGACGGCTTTATTGAGTATTTGAAGTCGATTTGCTTGTCGCTAGGGGAAAAATGAGTTGTGTTTGGTCAGGTCAAAATTAATCAAAAACATAAAGCTGTTTTTTTTTTAATTTGGGCCAATTTCAGACGGACTGGGTCTGTAATACAATTGGACATGCGAGTTCTATTGTTAGTCTGTGTTGAAAGTGGTATTCTCCATTTGTTCCAAAAACATTTTTGGCGTTCTTCTTCCTTAAATCAAAGTAAGGGTCATGGCCCCTTATGAAGAAGAATGAAAGAGGATATCTCACAAGTAAAGATGAAAATGGTATTCTCTTACTGCTCCGCAAACATTCTGCTGAAAATTTTTTTGGACCTCTTCGTATGATCAGAGAGGACGTCATGACCCCAGTTAATTAAAAAAACATATCAAAGAGGATATCTCATAAGTTTTAAAAAAAAAAAAAAAGGAGAAGAATGGTTTGATGGTTTCTTAGATAGAAGGTTTATTGTGACAGTACGTGTAGTATGAGTAAGTTGCCTCTTTATGAATGATAAATGGGGTTTCATTGTCTCTTGTTCTCATTACTACTCTGCGATACCCCTTTCAGTTTGTTCACATGTACTCAGTTGTCTGTACTCCGTACTCCCTCTTCGTTTTAAATTACAAGGCAAAATTTTGAACAGTACTCTGTTTCTATTTATAAGATAAATTATGGAATACGAGGAGAATTTAATAATATTTTTTCCAAATGTGCTTCTATATGAAATGTATAAAATAATTCGTTATAACTGCTTCTGTTTCTATTTAAGGTTAATAAACAAAATGGGTATTAAGTAAGGATAGGATACAAGGAAAATAAAAATAAGTTTAAAACATTAATTGTTTAATTAAGTTAGTTTAATTAGCATATGTGAGAACTTAGAACCCGCAGAAAAAAATTAGTTGTGGTTAATTAATGAGGGCGAAAAATGAAGGTGGTTATTTACTCGTCAGTGTTATGAATATCGGCATGAGAGAAGGCAGTCAAACTTAATTAAATTAACTTGAGAGAAATTAGTCGTGTCACTAACGTGTATGGGTGAACCTAAATTATAAGTATGTGGGGGATGTATATTTATGTGTACTGATAACGTATGAGAGGTATATGTTACATCACATGAACATATAATATAAACTACTACCTCTGATCCTTGATATAAGATCTATTTGACTTTTATTTTGATCCTAAAAATAAGAGCTCAATTTACTTTATCTCTCATATTTACACTTTTTTTTCTTCAAAGTAGTCCTTCTAATAATGATAATTTTAGCCAATACACTTGATCAGTAAAGATATTTTAGGAAAAACAACACTTATTTATTACAAATAATTAACTTAACGTATTCGTCTTAATCTTTTCAAATTAGTCAACTAGCTCTTATAATTAAGATCGGAAGTAGTACTACCACATGTCCTAATCATTTGTAGTCTACAAACGAGATCTTGTAATTATGACCGGAGATAGTAAATTAGTATTACCTCTTATCTTTGATATAAAAGTTAGTTAATTAATTTGAATGGATTAAAGAAACTATAAATAGGTAGTTTTTCTTAAAATATCTTTACTAATCAAATATATTGGTTAGAATTATCATTATCACAAAGACTACCTTAAAAAATAAATAAATATGAAAAACAAAGTAAATTAAGATATTATATTTATGACTAACATAAAATTTAAACAAGCTTTTATATTAAGGATGTTATTAGTATTTAATTTAGAGCACCAAGAATGAAGCAATCAGAAATGTGATAATCAATTAGTATAAGAATTTGACCAGCGGGATTTGGTCTGGTAATTGTGTCACCCAACGATATAACAAACAGGGTTATCCTGTGCCCAACCCCCAGCAAAATAAAGAAAAATGTATGTATAAATTTGAAACTTGATTCATTTTCAACTCTCGCCAGCTTGGAAATTTAGAGGGTGTTTGGGTGATAACCCAAACCATGGTTTAGAAACCATGGTTTAGGGAAAAATCACTCAAGCACTATAAAAAAAAAAAAAAAACCAAAACCAGGGTTTTGGTCCAGAAACCATAGTTTTGACAGAAGCAAAAATTTTCTGTTTTTGGGAAAAAAGGGAGAGTGTGAGAGCTTAATTATGGGATATATGCCTTGTTGTTTCTTTTAGCCCAGATGGATATATCCTTCCCAATTATTCATTTCTTTCTCACTGTTTCAGACGCAGTACAAGGGAGAGCCTGAGAGTAGATCTCAACAATAATATGGCTTTAACATCCCTTAATTATTTTTTATAAACATATTTAATCTTATATCTTATAAATATATATACACATATTAATTATTTATTAATTATATTATCTTATGTATTATTAATTATGTTGATAAAAAATATATTATTAACAATTTTATTCCTTCAAATTAAAATATATCATAAAATCTATTTTTATGTAATTATTACATTAACTTATGTCTTTTTTAGTAATTTGTACATATAAAAAGTATTTCTGATAACAACTATCCAAATACTCTTACTTTTTAGAATCATTTTTTCATAAAATTTATTTTTCAAAAATTATATTCTAAACTATAGTTTGGTTTTATCCAAATACGCCTTAAGAGGTGTTTATAGTGTTAAAATTTCTTGTTCATAATTTAAGTCATAATTATTAAACAAACATATATCTTATTATAAGTTTTAAATAACTAATTTATGAATAACAAACTGCCAATTAAAATTAGTTTAAAATAATGAATACGTTAGAAATATAAATTTATTTTTAAATATGTTTTTATAATAAATAAAAAAAGATAAAAAAATTATGTTGAGAAATGTGATAAAAAAAGAATATAATTTAAAAAATAAATAATTAAAAATAAAAAATATATTAATATTAAGATAGTGTATCATTTTTTTTAAGTCTAAGTTTATAAATAGGACAGAAAAAATATTTAAAAAAAACATACATGGTGCAGTCGTGAATCTCTTAGAAATGAAAACTGAGGCTAACTGATGGCCTGTGTGTGTGTGTAGATAGAAGGGGGGGATTCAACCGGCTGTAATAGTATATAATGGAAGGAAAAGGACATCAAGACAACTGTAGTGCGGATATATGGTTTGAAGATTTTTTTTATAAAACGAGACAAATTTTTCTATATATTTATTTTGTAAGTATTTCTGAAATTATAGTTTGGTTTCTATGTAAACACTTTTACAATTGACTTGTCTGCGCCGACCAGAGGGACCACTAGGCAAAGGGCCAAAGACGATCGACGCGTCCTATTTTAAATTCTCGATCAGTATTTTCAATATTTCCGTTGAACTTATCATCTTCATATATATAGACACATCTCAAAACCATTGTTAGAGTCACCGAAAAGAAACGGAAAGATAAAGGAAAGAAGATGACGAGCGTGGAAGATAAGCTTGAATCTGCTGAAACCCCTCCTCCTCATGTGGTGATATTTCCAGCACCAAGGCAAGGGCATGTCAACACCATCCTCTCACTGGCGGAGCTTCTGGCACTTTCCGACTTCCAAGTCACCTTTCTCATCACCCCCTACATACTTAACCGCCTCCGCCGTTTCGCCGGCGACATCGAAGCTCGTCATCCCAATCTCAGCTTCGAAACCTTTGGCCACGGCGTTCTCCAAAACCCCGCACTATTCGGCCACAACATGAAGGAATTAGCTGAGCAAATCAAGTCTCAGGGAAAGCTCAAGTTGAGGGAGTTATGCGCGGAACATTCAGGAAAACCCAGGGTCGGTTGCATTATAGTGGATGCCTTACTCGGACAGGTCGGCTCCGACCTCGGAGACGAGCTTGGAGTACCCATAATTCATTTCCGTACGGCCAGTGCCTGCAGTTTTTGGGCGTATTTTAATGTTCCTAAGCTCCTTCAGTGCAACGAACTTCCAATTAAAGGTACGTGTACTCTTCATTTAAGACGTAATTATATTAGATTGAGGAATAAACTTGAAAAAGAAGAAGATAAAGAATGCTTCGAAGTGTTCTTTGAATGTATGTGCAAGAACTTGAAGTTATGTTATTGTAATTTGGGCATAGGGGAAGAAGACATGGATCGCGTAATAACAAGAATCCCAGGTATGGAAAACTTGGTTCGATGTCGGGATCTGCCGGCTCTCTGTCGAGGAGAACGTAAGGGTACTCTTTCTTTGGACACTTTGGTATATCTGGCACTTCATTCGCAGCAAGCAAAAGCTGTGCTTATGAACACATTTGAGGACCTAGAAGGCCCTGTCCTCTCCCAACTACGCCATCACTTCCCCAATCTCTACACCCTTGGCCCTCTCCACGTACTCCTCAACTCCAAGAAAGCCTCAAAAACGGCGGCGGCGGCGTCGGGCAGGGAGGAGGAAAAAGACAGAACATGCATGAGGTGGCTCGACGCTCAGCCTCCAAAGTCGGTGATCTACGTGAGCTTTGGTAGCGTGGCTGTCTACACAAGGGCTCAACTCATGGAGATATGGCACGGTTTGATGAACAGCAAGAAGCCGTTCTTGTGGGTGATCCGACCCGACTTGGTGGCTGAAACAGACGGAGATCAGGGTCTGCCGGCAGAGCTACAGGAAGGGGCGAACGAGAGAGCGTGTATAGTGGAGTGGGCCCCGCAACAGGAGGTGCTGGAACACGCGGCGGTCGGTGGGTTCATGACACACAGCGGATGGAACTCCACGTTGGAGAGCATGGTGGCCGGAGTTCCGATGATATGTTGGCCTCTCTTTGGTGATCAGCCGACAAATAGCAGATATGTGAGTGAGGTGTGGAAGATAGGGTTGGATATGAAGGACACGTGTGATAGGAAGATTGTGGAGGAGATGGTGAATGATCTCATGGTGGAAAGAAGGCAAGAGTTTGAGAAGTCAGCACAAGCTTTGGCGGCTTTGGCCAAGAAGAGTGCCGGTGAAGGAGGCTCATCTTACTCTAATTTCCATCGTTTTATTGAGTATTTGAAGTCCATTTGTTAGGCGAAAATAAATTGAAAAAATGATATAAAAATGCTTATTAAATTTTTAAAAAATAAATAAGTCATGGTGAGTACTCTTGTAATAATTTTGACTACTCTTATAATATCTCGGCATGTCAAAATCACCTATTTTCATTTTAAAATTCTATTTTTTGTTATTTTCCTAATAAAGTTTGTTTTTAATAATAATTCAAGTACTAAATATTCAACTAAAATAAAATAATACTACTTCTAGTCCTAAATATAAGAGCTAATTAACTAATTTAAAGAGATTTAAAAAATAAGATTAGTGATTTGTAATAAATTTGTACTCCCTCCGTTCCTTATTATAAGAGACATTTGGTGCTTATGGCATGTTCCTATATATAAGAGACACTTAAAAGTTGTCTCTACTTTTTTGTGGTGATTTCCTATTTTACCCATATTTATTGTTTTCAACTCACACTCTCTCTCCTTCCCACTTCTCTTTCTTTTAATAAATTACCATTGTTCTCTCTCCTTATTAATGAGGATATTTTTGGAAAAAAAATTATACCTTTTACATATTAATTGTTCTTAACTAATTTTAACTATTTTTTTGATCAACGTAATTCGGTTATTCGTCTCTTATAATAAGGAACGGAGGGAGTATTGTCTTTCATAAAATATCCTTACTAATAGAGTGTATTGACTAGAACTATCATTATTAGAAGGATTATCTTTAAAAAAACATATAAATATGATAGACAAAGTGAATTAAAGTTTTATATTTAAGATTAAAATAAAAATCAAATAAAATTAAAGACAGGAGGTAATATAAATGTAATTGATGTCATGATATATAAACTCCAATTTTTGGTTGGCAAAAAAAAGGAGTCAAATTTTTGAAGTCACCTTGCTCGGCTCTTTCTGGAACAGCGGGCCGCCAAGGATATATAAATGCATCTGATTGACAATTCACCTTGGATCTACATGGAGACTGGTGGGCATTAACATCAATGTGAAAGCAACAGTAGCCAACCCTCCGGCCCTATCTGCCTTTTTTTGGGTCAAACTAGAGAAATAGCACTAGCTCTCAATTCTAGAAGTTGGGGCGAATTTGGAAAACTCAAAGGGCAGTTGAGAAAAAAAAATGACGTAAATTGGGAGAAAAAATTGTCACACATATTCATATCATATGTCTCAAAACTATTTTGAAAAAGCTAATCCAATGAAGAATAGCTTCAATAGACAAAAGTCTATGGGCTTATTTGTTTTCCTATTTGGAAAACAATTTTTTATTTTTAAAATAAAAAATTTGTTTACATGTTAATTTTTCATCAAGCATTTTTAAAAAAATAGAAATAAATTTTTTTAAAATGCTAAAATATATATTTGATCTTTAATTTTAAAAAGTATGATTTTGGTCTTTTAACTCAAAAATCATTAACAAAAAAGACTGATGGTATTGAGATCTTGAATTTGAAACATTTTCAAACGCTGATTTAATTTTCAAAACAATCATGATGATTACAAAAAGATTATTGTTTAAAACTAATAATTTTAGTGTCAAATGATTAAAAATATGCCTTATAGACCAAATTAAAACGTTATATAAAATTAAAAAACTAAATGTATAACTTAGTATTAAAAAAATTCAAAACAACTTTTATATGTTTTATTGGGTTATTTTCCCCCCTTTGTCCCTCATGTTTTTTTACATCAGTTTTTAGTTCCCCGCGTCTCTCTTCGTTGTAGTTGCAGTCTCCATTATAAATAATTTAGAAAACAATTGTCTTAAACAAGTTTTTATATTTTTATTCAAATGCAATTTTTTAGAACAATTATGTAAACTTATTTTTTCTAATAAAAAATTATTTTAAAAATAATTTTGTAACTTATTATGAAAATGTAAAAACAAAAAATAGAAACAAGGACCTATATCACTTAATTATACACATATTTAAACTTATCTGCGAATCAGGAAAAAATATAAAAAGCTCTTCAAAATTAAGAGCTCAATAATGTTCACATACATGGTGTAATCATTACTGTATATATATAAAGGAAGAGAAAACATGGATGATGGATCGTATAATAAAGAGAAAAATCAATATTCTTCAAATCCAGTGCTTTAAAGGAATGTAAAGAATTGTAAAATAAAATTATTGATTTTTGTTAAATATTTAGAGTGTTCCTGCAATCCTTTTTTTTTTTTTGGCCGAAAATGCACTAGGGTCCCAAGAAAGAATAAATACTGTAAAAAGGTTCCACAAAAAACACAAATAGACTATAGGTCCCAATGGGACTTCATTGCAAGAGAATCAAAAGCTACAATTACCTTTCTGTCCTTAATGATTTAGAAACAAAAAAATAAAAGGGATGACCATTTTTGTGCGTCGTCCTCCAAATACTTTATGAGAAATAAAAAAATTTCAGACCAGAGAAATGGAGTTTGCATATCATCTTCCCATCACCGTCATTAAAGTCAAAATAACTTCCCTTTTTATCTTCTTGATAGATTTTTGTGTTTGCAACATTCATCTCCTCTTCATCTTGTTGTGTTGATAATTTTAAGTTAGGGTATTTCAGTATCAGTCGATAAAATAATGAATAGATATTTTTTTTTGGGTACATTTTGGGTGGCATGTGTGTTTGTTTATGATTAAGTTGGAATGAGTGAAAAGATGATGGTTGTTGCGGGTAGAACGCCTTTGATATAGAATGAAAAAATGTGTTATCAATGCAGGTCGCGATAGTTATCAATATAGTTGTTTGAATTGTTAATGACAACTGTATTGTATAGGTTTATATTAAAAATGGTAAATAAGTATGAAAAGCATCATCTTTTTTTTTTTTCTTTCATGTGAGGAGAAGTTTGTAAATGATGTAGATGATATATGATATGTTGGGGACTGTGTAAAAACAATAACTATAAAGAAACACACAAATTATGAAGAGTTGAAAACAATAATATCATCATTTGTTGCAAAAGAAAGTAACTCATTTGACATTTTTATTATTTATGTCACTTGTTATTGTAAACGATATGCTTTATATCATAATATTTAAATGTTGCAATAAAATATTAGTTAATGAGCATTTGTTGAGTATTGTAGATGCTATCACTACAAAAAAATTGACTTTCAGCGGCGACAAAAGTCGCCGCTGAAAGTACAAAAGTCGCCGCCGAAAGTTTTTTGCGGCGACAAGTCGCCGCTGAAAAGTCGTTGCCGTAGCAGCCGTGGCTGAAAACTTTCAGTGGCGACTAAAAAGGTCGCCGTTAAAGAGATACTTTCAGCGGCGATTTTTAGAAGTTTCGGCGGCGACAAAAAAAGTCGCCGCTGAAGGTCCACTTTCGGCGGCGACAAAAAAAGTCGCCGCTGAAGGTCCATTTTCGGTAATTTGTTTATTAATATTGTAAAATAAAATATATATTATTATCTGAAGGTCCACTTTGGCTTGGCGGCAACAAAAAAAGTCGCCGCTGAAGGTCCATTTTCGGCAATTTGTTTATTAATATTGTAAAATAAAATATATATTATTATATTATACTTTCAGTGGCGACAAAAAAAGTCACCGCTGAAAGTCCACTTTTGGCGGCGACAAAAAAAGTCGCCGCTGAAGGTCCATTTTCGGCAATTGTTTATTAATATTGTAAAATAAAATATATATTATATATTATACTTTCAGCGGCGACAAAAAAAGTCGCCGCTGAAAGTCCATTTTCGTCAATTTGTTTATTAATATTGTAAAATAAAATATATATTATTATATTATATTTTCAGCGGCGACAAAAAAGTCGCCGCTGAAGGTCCACTTTCAGCGGCGACACTTTTGTGGCGCTGAAAGTCTTGGTTTCAGCGGCGACTTTTTGGTGTCGCCGCCGAAAGTGGACTTTCAGCGGCGACTTTTTTTGTCGCCGCGAAAGTCGTCGCCTAAAGCCTATTTTTTTGTAGTGTATTATTGACAATTATGGTGGATGTCTTGGTCAATAATGGTCTGCTTGTTGACAGCACATTTTATATGAAGAAAATTGATAAAGAAAATAACATTATTATTTGGTTTTGCATTCATCTATGACCTATTTTCATGTTTAGTTTTTTAAACAAAAAACCAGAATAATTATTGAAATCACATAGATTAATAGATAAATTAACAAGTCATAATACTACTATTAACAACTTAGAGAGTGGATATTAATGATATACATTGAGAATATTGATAACTGTTAATTTCAAATGTGTAATTGTTTTATATTTTACTCAAAATAAAAATATTATATTATAACATAATGTATTAAATTTATATTACTCGAGTGAAAATTTTTCAAAACTTAAACAAATTCATATTAGCATATAAATTAATAAGTGACAGTATTACTATTAATAGGTTACATTCATACCGTTAACAAGTAAGTGTACACACATTAAAAATTGAGATAGAGAATATTAACAATTAAAGATGTTGTTAATTTTAAATGTGCAGTTTAGTTATATAGCAAAATATTATATGATATATTATCAAATTATAATTAAGATGTATTACTAAAATTTATGTTACTTGAATGACATTTTTGTAAGACTTAAAAATATTCATATGAGCTTATATATTAGTAGGTGATAGTGCCACCATTGAAAACTCACAATATCACCATTAACAAGTGAGTGTATAATTAACAAAAAGTGATTTCATAATTTATATAAGTGATATTGACTTTTTAGTATCACATTATAACTCAAATATATACCTGCAAATGAATTGATGATATTATCTCACATTATATCATATCATGCAACTTAAAATCATATTTTTTTTTTCAAATTTATATCAGTAGATAAATTGACAAGTGATAGTGCCATCAGCAACAAGTGACAAAGGTGTATTGACATGATATTGTAGATAATGACAACCGTTTACACATCAAAATGTAACATATTGATTTATAACTAACTTTCATTTATAATTTCATATAAATGTAATTATACTAATTTCACAACACATCAAAGAAAAAAAATACAGGTTGCATGTTCCAATAGCATACTAACTATTGGTGTGTATTGTCACATTTACAAAAATTCCTATCACATCCAATTACCCCAAAAAAAAAGTTTCTATAACATGTTTTTAGCCAGTGTTTAGGTTCTTTCATGTCTTGACACTGTCTAATCTCAT